ACGCCCGGTTCCCACGTCGTCCGTTATCAAGAAGGTGTAAAGCTTATATCCACATGCCGAATATTAGGTGCTTCAGAAAGCTTACCCATGGCGGTTTGTTGCATGCGTTCCGTCTACATTCACTACAAATGGAAGGAGTCGGAACAACGCTATCTGCTGCCATCAGGAGAATTATATGTAGCTATAGTGACCTTCCACTGACTGGCACACAAGGACGCGTCCGGTATGCCGAAGTTTTCCCAGGACCGAAGACATATCATCCGTCATATTATAGCCCGACAATGCGGCACCTACACAGCATAGCCGGTCGATAGTTTCGGCGGTAGTTGCGTATATCTTTGGTGGTAAGAATCCTGCCGAATTCATCCACCACAAACTGCCGCACCTCACGTGACGGCGTTCCATATTTCAGAAGGGCCCTGCAGGTCTTCAACTCGTCTTTGGTTAACGCGGCTTCAAAAACGACGCGTTATTCAGGCTACGCTACGGTTTTACTGCTACGTGGTTTTTAGAACTGAACAATCCGATTGAAGGAACTGAGGTACATTCAGTTCTTGGACATGTGTTACGCTTGCCGAAATGGACTGCGTTTTCTGTCTGATTTGAAGTAAATAAAATATGGAGGTGGATATTGATTGACATGGCAGAAGGGACATTGAGGATGCCGTTCTTGCAGCTTGCCTTCGAGCATGATGTATGCGTGACCCGCTTGTTCCACGATGCGGAGGTGGCAGCAAACCGTTGAAAGTCGCGATCATAATGCCAGTTTATACCCGGACATTCGTCCGGGTACCGCAGATGCAAGCACGCAAAATGTTTTAGTCGAGCCAGCCACAGCTAACTCTCTTCCATTTCACTCTTTGCCTGACAGTACGGCTTTATTTAGGCAAACTGACATAACTGTGTTTCATCCAAGCACCATCGCATCTGAAGTTGCAAGCAACGATGTTGATAATACTAATCTGCAGCCGCTATCTAACCTTATCAACTGCGCTCACGTGCATCAGTACTTTGTTTTTATCCCAAGAAGGCATCTGACAAATCCAACAACCAGATATATCCGACTGTGTGCCACTCATAAGTTAGGAATGAACATTATCATTACTTTGCTTAAGGTCTTGAGTTCTCTTAGGTGACGTAACTACCTTACCGCAATTTGTATCGTGTGAACCAACGTGTTCTGAGAACCTGTAGCAGCGAGCAGAATCAGAGAATGCCCCATCCCCAGATTTCTATGGACCAGGTTGCCCTCTCATAGGCTGCTTCTTGCACCCTGTGGCGTGAAAATTATTTAAGAGTGCGGACGGGGGTACGACCCCCGTCAACCTTAACACAAGGGTATAACTGATTGAGATCCTGATCAGTTTTTTTGCATAGTTCTAAGCCCAACGCATATAACCCGCCGCCTCACAATCGTCGACAAACCCTCCGGTCTCATTTTTTGGTAGACACTGGGGCTGACGTCAGCATTGTTCCTGTAAGTGCCGTTTCCTGCAAACCCATCCCCTCGTCTTTTACACTTAACGCCGCGAATGTTTCTCCCATTTAAAGCTACGGACAGCGCACTCTAATACTAAATCTGACGTTACGCCGCGACTTCCCATGGATCTTCGTAATTGCTGATGTCCAGTATCGCATTATCGGCGCGGATTTCCTCACTCGTATCAACCTTTTGGTGGACCTGAGACAACGTCTTATTGACGCAAATACTAAACTGTCTACGAAAGGACATTCTATCGTCCTACCCTCCATCTAGCCCATCACAGGTTGTAAAAGCGACGATTCACCCTATCACGCACTACTGCATCAATTTCCAGGTTTGACTAAAGCAAATTTCCGTGACCCCAAACCGAAACACTCCGCTGTTCATCACATTCGTACGCATGGTCCTCCGGTTATCACGCGTCCACGTCGTTTGGCTCCAGATAAATTACAGTTAGCCAAAGACGAATTCAAACACATGCTTCAGCCAGGTATTATCCGACCTTCTCAGACTATGTGGACTTCATCCCTCCATATGGTTCCCAAGCAGTCATCTTCCGACTGGCGCCCTTGCGGAGACTATCGAGCACTCAATAACGCCACCATACCTAACCGTTACCCCATCCCACATCTTCATAATTTTCCTTCCACATTTCAGGGATGCACCGTTTTTTCCCACACTGACATTCTCCGTGCTTATAATCATACCCCTATACATCTTGAAGATGTTCATAAAACCGCTGTCACCACGCCTTTTGGGTTATTTAAGTTTTTGCGCGTGCCCTTTGGGCTTCGTAATGCAGCAAACATTTCAACGTTTTATTGACCAGGTAATACGTGATCTTCCTTTCGTTTTTGCGTACCTTGACAATATTTTGGTCGCTAGCATCACACCTGAAAAAGATTTGGAGTATTTACGTACTGTATTTACTCGTTTATGGGAATGTGGTGTCGTAATTAACGCTCAAAAATGTGTTTTGCTTCTTCTTCACTATCTTTTCTCGGACATACTATTGACCACACCAGAATTAAACAGGCCGCCGACAAGCTCAATGCCACGCGTAACTTTCCTTTCCCTTCATCTGTTAAACAAGTCAAACTTTTTTAGGGATGATTAATTTTTATCGTCGTTTTATTCCAAACGCTGCAAAACATTTGGTACCTTTCACTAACATGCTGTCTGGTAATCCCCCCCTAAGATATTGCATTGTGATGACACTCACAAACAAGCTTTTGAACAAACTAAGTCTTTGTTAGTTGATTCTTTGAAATTGGTTCATTTACAACCTGATGCCCAGTTGTCGCTTTGCGTTGACGCCTCTAATGTAGCTATGGGAGCAGTCCTGCAACAATCTGTTCGAGGCGAACATGAACCACTTGGATTCTTTTCCAGGAAACTTTCACCTACAGAATCCCGCTACAGCACCTTCGGTCGATAGTTACTCGCTATTTATTCAGCTATTCGACATTTTCGTCATTTTCTTTAAGGTAGAAAATTTGTTTTTACCGATCACAAACCTTTAACTTTCGCACTACTGGCCAAACCTGACAGATATTCTCCTCGTGGATTAAGTCAGCTTGACTTTATCTCACAATTCACCAACGATATCCGTTATGTATCAGGCAATCTCAATATCGTGACAGAGTTTGTCTCGTCCGGCAGTTGACTCCCTCCACTCAACGCCCACGATCGATTTGCAACGTATGGCTCAGCTACAGTGGCACGAGCTCATTCTTTTGCCGTCAAACCATTTTCCTTACACGTTAATCCGGTACTATTACAAATAGCACCAGGTACCATAGACCGCGATGTCTCTTCACCAACTGCAAGGCCTGTAGTCCCACATGCAATGCGCCGCCAAGTTTTTGACGCTCTGCACAACGTTTCGCACGCTGGTATACGTTCGACGGTCAAGATCATTTCACAATGTTGTGTATGGCCGAATATGAACAAAGACATTCGTTCATGGGCAAAACCTTGCCTAGTTTGTCAGCGTTCAAAAGTGATTCGCCATACCCATTCACCCATCGGTACCTTCGCCACTCCAGACGCTCGATTCGACCACGTCCACATAGATACGGCCGGCCCTCTCCCGACATCCAATTTAATTTCCTACCTCCTTTCTTGTGTCGATCGTTCTACGCGGTGGCCCCAAGCCATCCCAATACCTGACCTTCCGCAGATACCATCGCTCGCGCATTAATCAATGGACGGACTTCCATTTTTGGGGTACCTTCTTTCAAAACCACGGATCGTGGCTCCCAGTTCGAATCACAGTTGTTCCAACGTTTGACGAAACTACTTGGATGCAAACGCTTCCGGACCACTGCATATCATCTACAAGCAAGCGGTTTAGTCGAACGCTTTTATTGCTCTCCGCGCTCACGACAACCCGTTCAACTGGTCTGACCAATTGCCCAACCTACTTCTACATTTACGCACGATGTGTCGCTCTTTACTGCGTTGTTCACCCGCTAAATTTGTCTTTAGAACGACTCTCCGTATTCCAGGACAATTTTTCAATTCAGACTCACATACTCCTAGCGACCCGGTCACTTACTTAACTAACTTGAAATCTTACATGTCGCACTAACGCTATTCTCCACCACCAACACCAAGCAAACCGTCTTATACCGCCCCTGACCTCGCAACTTGTCCATTTGTGTTCATACGTTCCGATCATGTTAAACCACCTCTACAGCAACCATATGCTGGTCCTTCCCGTATTCTTTTGTGGAATGACAAATACTTTACTGTTCACTTACATGGTAAGCAGGAAAACATCTCTATTGATCGCCTGAAACCTGCTTATCTCGACTCCCTTTAGTCAAGTGTTCCTTACGGTCCACAACTCAAAGTGCCCATCGATAACACTGCAGGCACGCCTCCCAAAACTACAAGTGACCGCTTTGCACAACCTCACCACATCACCCGTTCTGGCAGACACGTACACCCGCCGGATCGTTTCATCGCAAGTTGACATCAACTATTTCATCACAATCTGACACACTGAACGTCCAAGCGACCATGTTTTTCATTTTTTTTCAATATCAATGGATTTATCACGTAAAATTACATGCTAAGGACTGTACAAAATGCAATTAGATAGCTTATGGTACACGAGACAAAGAACGGTGGTTGTGTGTTAAGTACAACAAGTACAACAAGTAAGCAGCAAGTTCTGTGGAAGTAGATAATTGAAGAATAGATGTACATAAAGTTGACGCGAGCCACTGCGGCCAGAGTGTCAGACTTCAGTTCGTGAGCAACACCCTGGTAATTATGTCCTTAGTGAGTGAAGTCAATGACTTGATATTAGCACAGTGGCTGCGATGGGAAAATTTACAGGCCTATGGTAGAGGAAAACCAGGCGCCAGGCATATGAAACTTAGATGTAGGGCGGGGATAAGTACAAAAAACAAACGTGACGAGTTAACAGTCTCAGAAAGAAACATGAAGTAATGACGAGACAAGCGCATGGTCGGGAATCAGTTTGTGATAATGAGAAATTCTGTCATCATGACTCACTATCGGATTTCGAATCAGACGAATCAGACTCACTTGAGTCTGAGGTGCTCTCCGAATCACTCCCACTTGGGGACGATGCACTCAATCTATTGGAGCTGTGTTGCTTTTTGTTACGATGTGAATTGTGGAAACCGGAAGCACTGGAAGGAGGGCCCCGCATTTCGCGAAGTCGACTTTCAATCTCCTCCGTCTTCTCCTTCATACACCCTTCTCTCGATTTACCCCGATTGGCGGTATTGGGACCGTTTTTCACGTACTTGCGACATCTTGATTTCGCTTCCTGCAGAACTAACTTCAAATACTTTTCTAGTTCTCGTAAAGTAGTATGCTGAGGTGTTTCGAAGTCTATTTCTATTTCATCAGGGTTGCAATTCCGATGGGAAGGCTCACGCTGCTGAATAATTTGCACAACTCCGCCGAGTTTCTCGCCTGGTAACTTATTTATGTCAATACTCAGCTGCCGTTTCTCATCGTACGTCATCGGCCGAACATTGTTCTCGGACATTTCCTCATCAATCGCCTATCCATGGACGGTGGACTGCGCATGACCAGGTGCATTGGTGGCATTCAGTGTGGGAACTGTAAAGGTTAAGAGAGCTGTGGTTTGACGGTATTTCGCTTTGGATTGGGATTGACGACCCTTCCTGGAAGAAACCCCGTCATCAAAGGATTCATTCGAAACGGAGCGCACACTCACCCGAAGATTGTCCAAGGGGGACAGAATTGAGTTGAGGAACTTGTCCCGTATTGGCAGAAGTTCGTTTAACTCGAGTATTCAGAGTGCTGATGATAGAGTTCAAGTTTGCTGCACCACGTTACAACTCTTCATTGCACCTCTGGAACCGAACAGTAAGCCTTTGGTGTCCTTTTATGGCATTTTGGATCAGCTGATAGAGATTTTGATCAATCGACCGATCAGGAGAAGGGACAACCCCTGATTCATCGTCGGGTACTTTGACAAAACTTTCCTCAAATATCGCTTGTAAAAGCTTCCCAACTTTCGCTACGTCGCTGTCCTCACCATTGTATTTATAGCAGTTATTAAACATCAACCTGATGTCATCGGCAAACTCGTACTTGGAATGATATTGGCCGGCCACCAGCTTCGTTTTGCCAGTACTGAGGTCCATGGCTTTTTTTATGACGTCGTGATAATCATGTAAACCCATGGCTTCTGTGTCAACTGGGTTGAGAAACAGATGGTTCAAGTCTCTATACCGCTGTGAATAAATTCCCCTCAATATATTGCTGCACGCTTTCAGCGCCTCGGATAGTCGCAAACGCTTGGCGACTTTCCGCTCTTCATAGTCACGCTTTGGCTTTTTTTATCTGGCGACAATCGCGTGAAGGATCGTCGAGTGAATGAGGAGTTTGAGGTAGATCATCAAGGAGGTTTTCCATTTTCTTCTTGGACGCCTTTTTTCCGGCGATGGAACTACATGATCGAATGGCTGGACCGCTCGGTTCAGAGGATGACGAAGTTCCATTCAACCCTTTGACGTGATTCAGATCTGGCGATTGTGCAGGGGGTCATCAGTAGAACGCAAGGATGGAACTGGCTTCGTAGACTTGGAGTTCTTCTGGGGACAGATTTCGGTTTCGGGTGAAGGTACAGATTTCAAGCGTTCTCTGGCCAACTGTTCAAGCTTCATTGCCATGGCAACTACGTCATCACCAGGTTTGTTGAAAATATAGCAGTTACGGAACATAGTGAAAATAGCATCCAGGCACTTCGAAGAGGAATGATAAAACTTGAGGTTCAACCGCTGTTTCATAGTGCTTAGGTCCATTGGGTGCTTCACTATTCTCGGATAATCGGGCAAATTAGGTCGTTCATAATCCACCGGTTGAGTAAAGGGCCTTACACTTTTCTCCTTTAGTAACCGACCAACAACTTCTTTCTTGATATATTCTAGCTGATTCGTGGTTATCTTGGGTGGGTGTGATTGGGTTGAGTGTGGATCGGGTTTAATCAAAACAGAGGAATCCATATGCACCACACCACTCATCAGAAGGATAAGAGATTAACCAAAGCCATGCACTAATATACACGGCAGAAAACCATGTAAGTGTGTATAGGCATGTTTACTGGATCCCGCGACTGACCTGCTAGTTCCTGTTTAGTACGCATAGAAAGGATTCATGTTTTATACACACGTCAAACTTTCCTGTGTAAGGACAGAACACAATCAAACACAAGCACAAAAACCACGTGACAAACGCCGTTCCGCCTGCAACTTTGACCGACCACAAGTCAGTTCCTGTCTAGTACGCATCGAAACGATTCACGTTTTATACACACGTCAAACTCTCCTATATAAAAACAGAACACAGTCGCACACCCTCACACATCACTCGCGCGTCGGAACACAAACCGGCTCGACCCAACAACAGCCGCGGACAACTAGGAACGTATAGCAGTGAATCTGCCAAAAGAAACAATTACATGCGCCCAAACCAACTCGGTAGAACTATTGCAACTTCCGCTCAGAACGATAAAGTCCTTCATTGTGCATTCCCATTTTTGGTATTGTATTCGACCCGATTAAGGTGTTATAACCTCACGCTCTTAAAACAAATTTTATTAGGGGGCTTTCTAACCTTCTGACTTATCAAGTGGCTTTTGTTGTTAACAACAGAAACCACTAATAAGTATCCTCAAAAGTGTCCTTTTGGCTGCAACATGCAAATTCCGCCCAAAATGTGTTTGCTGTTCTGCGAATGATCCGACGCCCCTTATTCCCTATTCCTCGCGTGGAGTATTGAACATTATAAGGTATACGTCAGACCACTGCTCGAACACGGCAATTAAGTTGTCTACTCAGGACCCGCGAAAGATGTCATCAACCAGCCTCTACGAGAATGGCTGCCGCCTCCCATTCGTGGACCACGAAACGAGTCTCTCGATACTTGATCTCCTTCTCCCGGAGTAACGTCGCCTCTAGGGGGACCTATTGCTTTTTTATGCCGTTTTTGAAGAAAGCTTCCAAAACAGATTTTTCACCGTTGATCCAGAAAACACGTGGCTCGGACATAATCAGAAGATTTTCAAGCTCATAGGGCAGTTATTCGTTAGACAAAATTGTTTTCTCATTTCGGTAGTAACTCCGTGAAATGTCCTTCATCCTACGGTTGTCCACGTTCCTTCCAGATCCCAGTCCAAGGTAATAATTAACATTTATTTGTGCCAATCCTCGCACTGGCATGCATACCGCCCCACCCTAAGAACACAAATAGCAGTGCCACACTTTATTTACTTATGCCTTTCAGGTGAACGACAGCCGCTGACCCACAAGTAAAAAACCGAGCTAAGAAACCAGCCAAAGACGTCGATCCTGAGTGTCAATCAAGCGTTTGGGTGCGCGCAGTGGTGCGCTGTCACACTCCAAATCTCCAGCACCAATATCATGCTGCACAAGTAACAGACAGCGGTGTTCAAACGAAGGTCACAACGACAGGCACAAAGCAAAGTCTGAAATCACGCTGAACCCAAAGAGCAGATGGTTGTCGTTGTACATCATGAAAATAAGGTTGATAAATTATTTTGACAGTATTGGTGGGGACAAAGATGATACTGAGGATGAAAAGTAGCAGCTAACAAGTGATACAACCAGATCAACAAGTTTGGGCGCGTAATGTGTATTCCGAAATTGAAATGTGTCTTGTCTCAAAGCAATTTGAAGACATTGCTGATGAGCAGGTCGCAGCCAATTTGTTGAGTGTTCAAATCATTGGTTGAAAGGTTGTAGTTTCGAGGCTAGTGTTTCATCATAAGCGTAAACCACCTGTGCAGTTGTTCTCTCCTCTTTCTGTCTAGATTGACTAACATAAAATACAAAATTTCTGCAAAGTCTCAAATCTCCTCGTACCAACAACCATGTATATGTGTGGTTCAGTGGAATAGTCAATTTTACGTGGTGGATGAGACCTAGATCATCGAACTCGTCGCTCGCGGAGCCAGTCAAAACCTGTGACCGCGTTATGTGAATTTTTCTGTGCAATTTAAACGTGTTATTTTCTAGGTCACGTGACTCACCAAGGGCATTCTTGTTGAGAAATATGGTTGTCGACTACTATTTTGATACCACTGATGCAATCCGTTGTTACTATCTCACTCCTGTTTTTGAATTTTTCTGGTGATCTTTGTGAATTCTTCAAACTCATGATCATGCTTGACGTCAATTTAACACAGAATACTAAATCCACCGTGCACATACATTTTTCCGCATATCGCATATGCATTCTACAGTCACAATAACGAAATACACGTACGTGTTTTTATAGCTGTTGTGCATTCGTAGAAAGGATCTTCTGGTGCCTCAATTCAAAGCTGAATGAGGGCCATCACCCAGGATTGATATAATGCGCTAACGTTTGGAATTTCAGATGACGCCGTAATGCTTTGTGATACAGACAAATAAAGAGAATTTTTAAACTTGTTTACAAAACACGGAGAGTGGAACAGTTTCAAGGTACGTGATATTTGAATGGCATGGGGAAATATTTCATTTGTGCATTGCGTGAAATGCAAATATGTTTAATAAATTGTCTTAGTTAAATTGTAAGCAGCCTGAACTTCAAAGCATTTCTTTAGTGCACACAAGTGTAAACTGGGAGCATTTTGATGAATATCCTTCAACGACCAACCAAGTGATCAAAAACGAAGAAACAATTGCATGTCCATGTGGACGAAACAAATT